TTGTTTTTCTTTTTCATTCAATAATTTTACTCCTCACCCTTCTATGTGTCTTCGAGCCTAATCTTTCCTGGTCATGTGACAAGAAACCAGTATTTTCCGTTTTTTTGAGATGGAGTCTTACTCTGTATGGAGTCTTACTCTGTTGCCCAGGCTGGAGTGCAATGGCATGATATTGGCTCACTGCAATCTCTGCCTCTCGAAGAACCCAGTATTTTCTACAACAATATTTTATACATTTCTTTCTATACTGATTATATAATTATGGCTTTACAGCAGGAAACAAAAAAATAAAGAATAAGTCACAAAAAAAGAAATCAAAAGGGAAATTATCAAATGTTTTAAACTAAATAAAAATGAAAACACAATATATCAGAATTTGTGGGATAGCAGTACAAGCAGTACCTAGGAAAGAATATACAGCACTAAATAAATATATTAGAAAAGAAAAATGATCTAAAATTAATGACCTCAGAGATCATACTAAAAACTTTAAAAGCCTGTAATTCTAGCACTTTGGGATGCCAAAGCAGGTGGATCACTTGAGCCTGCGAGCTCAAGACCAGCCTGGGCAACATGGTAAAACTCTGTCTCTACAAAAAATACAAAAATAAGGCAGGCGTGGTGGTATATGCCTGTAATACCACCTACTTGGGAAGGTGAGGTGGGAGAATTGCTTAAGCTAGGGAGGTCAAGGCTCCCATTTATTTGCAGGGTTTTACGGCTACAGCATATTCTTCACTCACTGCACACATGACAGACACATCTTCACCTGCATTGTATTTTCCTTGTATTTATTTGCCTACTTCACCTTCTGGCAGTTTAAGATCCTCAGGAACTTCATCGGTTTCTGTCGGCAGGGGAAGGCAACTATCTTGAATGCGTATCAGTTGATAATCATGTGTCTGAATATTTGGAACACCCATGTTGTGAACAGAAGGACAAATATCTTTTTTTTTTTTTTTTTTTTTGCCCATGAAAATAGCAATTCCAACAAGGTGAACCTTGGCTCGACCATGTTTTCCAGTTTTGGAAGTTGACATCTTCACTATTTTGCATGGTTGTCCTTTGAACACCATGAAGTCACTTTTGCGCAAGGTCGAGCACTGCATAGGGTAAGTGATGGAAGCCCCAGCATCTCCGGTAGTTAAATCAGTTTCGTACACCATGGTGAGCTGGGGAGATGGTAGTTTTTCCGTGGGAACTTTCAGCAGGCAAAGAGTGCCTTTCACCTGCATACCAGCACGGGTCCCCTACAGCTGCAGAGCCAGCGGCAGCGGTGGTAGCTGCAGCAGTTCCCAATAAGGGAATATTATATAAAACTTTATGACAATAAATATGGTAACTTAGATTAAGCAAATTTCTTGAAAGATACAAACTACCAAAGCTTACAAAAAAAAAAAAAAAAAGGTAATATGAATAACTCTATATCTACTTTAAAAATTGAAGCCTTGTTTAAAATTCTCCCACAAAAAATACCAGGTCCAGATGGCTTCATTAATGAATTCCAACACTGACAGTAAAAAAAAAAAAAAAAAATCAGTTCTACACAACTCTTCCAAAAATATGAGGAGAAAAGACTTCCCAGTTCATCCTATGAGACTTGATAGTTCTATCAATGCAAAAGATAGAATGCAAAAAAAAAAAAAAAAAAAAAGACATTAAAGAAAACAGTGTTAAGGCATGATGGTGCATGCCTGTAATCTCAACTACTTGGAAGGCTGAAGCAGGAGAATCACTGAAGTCCAGGAGATTGAGACCAGCCTGGGCAACACAGTGGGATCCACTCTCAAAAAAAATTTTTTTAATGAGAAAGAAAACAATGTCCCTCATGATGTAATTCACATTAACAAAGTTAAAAAGAAAAATCACCTCAGTAAGACACAGAAATAACACGTGACAGAATGAATTTTTACATCCATTCCTGAAAAAAGATCTAAACAAGCTAGGAATAGAAGGGATCAAGCTCAATTTGATACAGAATTTACACAAAACCAACAGCTATCATTATAACTTAATGGCTAAAGACTAAATGCTTTCCCCTAAGATTAGAAAAGAGACAAGGACGTTGCTTTCAACCACCTCTATTCAACATTATACTGGAGTAGCCAGTGAAATCAAGCAAGAAAAAAAAAAAAAAGACATGCAAACTGGAAAGGAAGAAAAACTTTTTATTTACAGACATGACTGACTATATGAAAAACCCAATGGAATCTATAAAAAAGTTGGTGTGGGGGTGGGCAGGTGCAGTGGCTCATTCCTGTTATCCCAGCACTTTAGGAGGCCAAGACAGGAGGATCACTTGAGCTCAGGAGCTCAGGAGTTCAGGACCAGTCAGCCTAGGCAACATAGTGAGACCTCGTCGCTACTAAAAATAAAAAAAAAAAGTAGCCCAGCATAGCGACACAGGCCAATAAGGCAAGCTACTCAGGAGGCTAAGGAGGGAGGATCACTCGAGCCTGGAGATTGCAGCTGCAGTGAGCTATGATGACATCGCTACACTCCAGCCTAGGCAATAGAGGGTGACCTTGTCTCAAAAAAAAAAAAAAAAAAAGGTTAATGGCACTAATATTTAAGTCTAGCCAGGTTGCAGAACATAAGATCAACATGTAACTATCAACTGTATATCTATATACTAGCAACAAACAATTGAAAATTGTAGAACATCATTTATAATAACATCCTCAAAAATACTGAGAGATAAATCTTACCAAAGATGTAAAAGATCTATACACTAATAACTATAAAATACTGCCAAGAGAAATTAAAGAACTTAATACAAAGTTAAACACATACTTATCATCTGATCTAGTCATTCCATTCCTAGACAATTACTGAAGAGAAAAAAATGTATGTCTATATAAACTTGAATGTAATAGCCAAAAATTAAAAACAACCCATATATCCATCAATAAGTGAATAGATTTTAAAAATTGCGATATCCAATGGAATACTATTACCTTAGCAACAAAAAGGAATGTATTATTGACACATGCTACAACATGGATAAATCTCAAAATAATTATACCAAGTGGGAGAAGCCAAATATAAAAGGGTACATACTATGTGGTTCCATGTACATAAAATGGTAGAAAAAGCAAACTAATCTACAGTAACAGAAAGAACTTAACTGGTTTCCCATATACGGGTGGGCTGAGAGGAGTGTGAATGAGGGATTACAAAGAGGTATGAAGAAACTTTGGGGATAATGGATAAACATATCCATTATCTTTGGGGATAACTGATAAACATATTCAGTATCTTGACTGTGGTGGTTTCATGGGTATATACACGTCAAAGTTTATCACGTTGTACACTTTAAATATACACAGTTTACTGTATTTCAATTATACCTACAAAATACCTTTTAAAAAGACAACTAAGTAATATTAACGTTTCCTTTCAGGTCTAAAACCAACACTATATTCCCTTTCCTTTTTTTTTATAAATTGGCAAGCAAAAATTGCATATATTTATGGTGTATAACATGATGTTTTCATATGTCTGCAATGTAGAATGGCAAAATCAAGCTACTTAATTTATGCATTACCTCACAATACTTATCATTTTTTGTAATGAGACTAGTTAAAATCTATTCTTAGAAATTCTCAAGTATAGGCTGGGGGCAGTGGCTCATGCCTATAATCCCAGCACTTTGTGAGGCCAAGGCAGGTGGATCACCTGAGGCTGGGAGTTCAAGACCAGCCTGACCAACATGGAGAAATCCTGTCTCTACCAAAAATACAAAATTAGCCAGGTGTGGTGGCACATGCCTGTAATCCCAGCTACTTGGGAGGCTGAGGCAGAAGAATCCCTTGAACCCAGGAGGCTGAGGTTGCGGTGAGCCGAGATCGCACCATCGCGCGCCAGCCTGGCAACAAGAGCGAAATTCTGTCTCAAAAGAAAAAAAAGAAATAAATAAATAAATTTTCTTTTTTTTTTTTTTTTTTGAGATGGAGTCTCACTCTGTCACCCAGGCTGGAGTGCAGTGGCCGGATCTCGGCTCACTGTAAGCTCCGTCTCTCGGGTTTACGCCATTCTCCTGCCTCCGCCTCCCGAGTAGCTGGGACTACAGGCGCCCACCACCTAGCCTGGCTAGTTTTTTGTATTTTATTTTTTAGTGGAGACGGGGTTTCGCTGTGTTAAGCAGGATGGTCTCGATCTGCTGACCTCGTGATCCGCCCGTCTCGGCCTCCCAGAGTGCTGGGATTACAGGTGTGAGCCACCGCGCCCGGCCTGAAATTTTCAAGTATATAATGTATTGTTACTTACTACAGTCATCATGATGTACAACAGATCTCTTGACCTTATTCCTCCTATATAACTAAAAAATTTGTGTCCTTTGACCAATATCTCTCCAATCCTCCCAGCCTTTAGTAACTACCACTTTGCTCTTTGTTTCTATGCATTCAGCTTTTCAGATTCCACAAATAAGTGAGATTGTGGAGTACTTGTCCTTCTGTATTATCTTTCCTTTGGACATTGGATGGTATTACTTGTAAAACATTCCACAGCTAAACATTTTTTTCCATATTCTCTACATTATTACAAGTTTCGATGCTAGGCACAGCTGTTAAGCTTGCAGAAATACAAATACATCAGCAAAAATATTCTCACCAACCATCACAATGCAGTTACAGACAGGACCTGCCTCTGCTTTCTCCCCTTACAGGGGGATATACAATGACTACAGTCATCTCTTTCTTTGCATCATTAATGACCCAAAGACACTCACTTAAAAAAAAAATTACCACTGTCACACTCCTCAATCTTCCACACCACCTTTTTTGTTTTCCCATCCTCCAGTTCCTCTTGGTTACTAAAAATAATGTCTACACTTCTATTTAGTTTTACTCCATCTTCTCACATCTATCAAATATTTTTTAAAGATATGTTTAAGAATAAGAACAGTATTTTTCTTTCTTTTTTTTTAAATTGCTGCTCCTTGTGGAGCAGGGCTACCCTGCAGGCAGTGTGCCCAGAGTAGCAAGAACAGTATTTCTATAGCTTCTCAGCCTTCTGGCTAAGATCAAGTGTAGTTTTATTTTTATCAGTTTAATATCTGGAATGTCTTCTATCCAAAGACAATTTTGTTTGTTTTGTTTTGTTTTGTTTTTGAGACGGAGTTTCGCTCTTGTTGCTCAGACTACAGTGCAATGGCATGATCTCGACTCACCACAACCTCTGCCTCCCGGGTTCAAACAATTCTCCTGCCTCAGCCTCCCGAATAGCTAAGATTACAGGCATGCACCACTATGCCTGGCTAATTTTTTTTGTATTTTCAGTAGAGACAGGTTTCTGCATGTTGGTCAGGCTGGTCTGGAACTCCTGACCTCAGGCGATCCACCTACCTCGGCCTCCCAAAGTGCTGGGATTACAGGCACGAGCCACTGCGCCCAGCTCTAAATGAGTTTTTGAAGCAGGGAGATGGAATAGGATCTTGCTTGATCTACTCCACACATTGATCTGGTATTGCAATACCTCCAGGAATGGTGCACCCCCCCACCTCAAAGGAAAAAAATTAAAATTAAAATCAAAAACAAGATTTCTATATATTTACCTCAAGTACTGGTCCAGCTCCAAGAATAATCTGTTCTACTCCACTGACAAATCCTTTCTGACTGAGAGCAGTAAGGTGGTGAATAAGAAAGTTTGTGCTTTGAGTCTTCCCAGAACCACTCTCTCCCGAAATCACGATGCACTGATTCTTTTTGCGCTGAAGCATGGCATGATAAGCTACATCAGCCACAGCATAAATGTGGGGCTCAAGTTTTCCCAGTTGGTGGTTATCATACATTTTGACATATTTGGGGTTATAAATAGGAAGAAACTTGAATGGGTTAATAACTATTAGAATACTGCCAACATAGGTATAAATTTTTTCATGCTTAAAGCGATTTCGTAGGTTTTCTAAGAGAGTTTTCTCATTCAAATCAGGTAAACTACATAAATCATCAAAGTCTTTCTGTTGAGGCTGTGGAAGAAAACCCCGTTCCATCATCCTGCGACGTTCTTCTGTTACCCGTAGCCATGACTGCAGGCTACCATAATGGATTGATCCATCAAGGTTTTTCTCTCTCAGAAGAAAGCGGTAGTCCTCTCCGCTTAAGCGATTTTCCAGAGCCATTCGGGGCCACAACATCATTCGCTGAACTGGACAGTCTGTTGGATTGAGAATCCATTCTTCTCCACCAAATTCCTTTACCTCCGCTAGAACATAACATTTTGTTTTGTCAAGATGAAGTTTGTTTATAAGAGACTCAATCACCTCAGCAGCTGTGGAGTTTTTTCTGGCAGGAATAGGACAGTAGATTGTCCCTTCTGAAATAGTCCCAGGATAGATCCGTAATGTATGTTCATTATCTTCAAAGCGTCGTCTTCCTCCATCATTTATATTCATATTGGATCCTGTCCCATCAGCATGGATAGTATATGTTCAAAGTCGTGCAAACCATTTTCTTGGTAAAATAACTGTAACATAAAAGATGCAAAATATTTAGAAGTAAATATGCATTGCTTTCTGATGTTCAAGAAAGAAAAGCTTAACAAGCATGTTGATTACATCTTCTAAAACACAAAATACTAACTTGTATCTTAGCACAGCAACAGTTTCATTGAGACCACATAATATTAAGTTTCACTGTCCAAATTTAGGCACTTTCTAAAAATACATATATTTCAAAAAAACATATATTTCAATGTTTTATTACACAAAAATCCAAAGAGTACAAAGAAAAATGTTTCCCCTGCTGTCTCAAATGTTTGTAAGGAAATTGTGATTAGAACCAAGTTCTTTCCTTATACTTAACAAAGACTGGATTAAGACAGAATAATCATGCAAATCTAATTGCCCTGTACCCAAAATTTCTTAAGGACAAAGCAAAAACAAGAAAGAATTCCAACAATGGAGCAAACATTTTGTAAAATTTATTAAAAACAGTAAGAAGATGGATAAACAGAGAAATTACATAAAACCAAGAAAATGATGAGAGAAACCAACTAAAGAGATAGACATATATTTTCAAGGAATTCTAGGCTCTGACTCTCTCCCTCCCACAAGGTGGGAAGGAGAAGGGAGTTTGGCAAGAGCAATAAAAGAATCCTTCCCCCGACTTGCTGAGTAAATTTAACAAAATTATACAACTAGGCACCACTACAAATTTTATTCAGCTTCCCTTTGTCCTTCAATGCTACCACTATATCTTTTTACCTAACCTTATTTATTGCATTCCTTACAAGTATTCTGCATTTTCTTCCCATCTTCTCAAACCTCATATACAGTATATCACACTTCTAGAAGAATGATTTCAACTTTTATACCTCACTGAGAAAATAGTGATTTCCTTCAAATGGCTTCTCCAACTCAAAATTTATTCCTATCTTTACCTCATCTATCTTATTCCATTCCTGTCTTCTACTGAGAAAATATGCCCCACACACTTTCCAGGGCTGATAAAACCTATTTCTTATCATCTTCATTAGTTAGTTATATGCCCCCCAAAAAAACCACTCTCATGTGTCATCAATATTTCCCTTATTTATTTCATCCTTTAACATATAAGGATGATGTGCTATTAAAAAAATAAGAAGAAGAAATACTTTCAGTTACTTCCCTTTTTTTGTTTTTTGTTTTGTTTTGTTTTTTTGAGACAGGGTCTTGTTCTGTCGCCTAGGCTAGAGTACAGCGACGTGATCTTGACTCACTGCACCCTCCATCTCCCTGGCTCAGGTGATCCTCTCACCTCAACCTGGCTGGGACTACAGGTGTGCACCACCTTGCCTGGCTAAATTTTTGTATTTTTAGTAGAGACGGGGTTTCAACATGTTGCCCAGGGTACTCTCTATCCTCTCATACTACTATGTATTTGTCAGTCTTCTAATCAAGAAACTATTTTTTCCCTTTTGCCAAGATGGTCTTTCAAACACAGAGATTAATACAGAACATACAAAAAAACCCCAGCCATATAGGCCAGGTGGTGGCTCATACCTGTAATCTCAGCACTTTGGGAGGCCAAGGCGGGCGGATCACCTGAGGTCAGCAGCTCGAGATCAGCCTGGCCAACATGGTGAAACCCTGTCTCTACTAAAAATACAAAATTAGCCAGGCAAGGTGGCACATCCCTGTAATCCCTGTTACCCAGAGGCCTGAGGCAGGAGAATCACTTGATCCTGGGAGGCAGAGGTTACAGTGAGCTAAGGTCGCACCCCTGCACTCCAGCTTGGGTGACAGAGTGAGACTCTGTCTCAAAAAAAAGAAATTAAAAAATAAACTAGTTAGGAAAGGATAAACATTTCACTGTGGTACTGGTTCAATTGCTAATCTGAGTTGAAGTGAAGAAAATTAACAGTCCTATCTCATAGCATACTAAAAATAGATTCCATCTATGGATTTGTACCTATCAATCTGTTCTGGGCTCTATATTCTATTCCATAGGTCTATTTTTCCACCCCGAACCTCTGTTAATTACTACAGCCCTATAATAAATTTTGGTATCTGAAGGGCACATTACCTTAATGTGTTGTTCTTTACAAATTTTACATTGGCTATTTACTCTACCATAAAAATGTTTAAGTTCACATGTTTACTATCATGAATAAAAACCTTTTCAGATTTTAATACTGCATTGATTTTACAGATTAATATTGGACAGAACTGACATCTTATTGACTCTTCTCATTCGTGAACACCACGCTGTTGGCTTTTAAAAATTACAACTATATTTTTCACTTCTAAAGTTTTTGTCATTTTCAAATCCACCTGATCTTTTTTCTGCCAATTTACATTCCGAAATTATTTATACTTAAGGGCTATTACTCCTTTTCTTTTTGAAAATCCTGAGTATGTAATTTAATATTTTTCAGACTAATATTGAAACGTCATCCAGACTGAACTGCTCTTCTGGTTGTTTATTTCCTATCTTCCTTAGCATGAGATGACTTTGTATGTTTGAGAATTTAGCTTTACAAATGAACTTTTGATGGAACTTCTTTTGTTTTTCATACAAATACTTACTGAGAACCTGTTTACTACTTTTTTAAGAGAACCACAGTATCATGAATATATTTTTTAACTAAAAATTTTTGGTATTAAATGATCAATTGATATTCAAATTTCCTCAGTTATCTCATAAATATTTTTCTTACAGATAGTCTAGATGAAGATTCTGCTCTACAATAACAGTGAGGATATACTCTGAGTTACCAGGTTCCTAGTTGTATAGCTATGTTTAGTTTCCTGAATCCCTAAGTATTTGCTTCATATAAGCTATGGCATCTGGCAGCAGTCAGCAGCAAATCTTCTTACAGCCAGAGAGGCTGTGACCTGTACCACTCCAGAAGATGTGCTAAGTCAAGGGGTCCCCAACCACTGGGCCATGGACCAGCGCCAGTCCATGGCCTGTCAGGAATTGGGCCGCACAGCAGAAGATGAGCAGCAAGCGAGTGAGCATTACTGCCTGGGCTCTGCCTCCTGTCAGATAGTCAGCAGCATTAGATTGTCATAGAAGCATAAGCACTATTGTGAACTGCACATGCAAGGGATCTAGATTGCATGCTCCTTATGAGAATCTAACTAATGCCTGATGACCTAATACCTGATGATCTGAGGCAGACTAGTTTCATCCCGAAACCATCCCCTACTACCCCATCTGTGGAAAAACTGTCATCTATGAAACCAGTCCCTGGTGCCAAAAAGGTTAAAGACCACTGTACTAAGTAACTACAATCTAATCCCTAAAGTTGTATAATATGGCAGACCTGGAAGTAAACTCAGAAACATCTTTTTTAACAGAGGAGTCCTATCTTGGTCCACTGTTTCCAACAATAAGCCCAACTCTAATTACACTTCCCTATTACTTCAAAGCAGCCAAAACCTCACCTGCTCCTTCCTGAAACACAGAAATGTTTACGTTTTTTGAGCCCTAGTTTTGTCAATTTGGTTTTATCTTTGTTATTTTATCAATTACTGCTTTGTTTTTTTGGTTTTCGTTTTACAAAAAGGAGGGTTTGTCTCAAAATACCACTCAGAAATCCATCTTGATCACGAGCCAGTCCTTGCTAAAATACTTCAAAAATCTGTATTTGCAAATGGGAGACATGAGCTTTCATTAAAATCATCCGGGGAACTTTTTCAAAACATGTATCACCGGCCAGGCATGGTGGCTCATGTCTGTAATCCCAGCACTTT